GCTGACCCCGGGAGGGGCCGGGGCCGATCCCGGGTGGGAGAAAAGGAAAGTCTGTGGGTTCTGGAGGCATTTTTACGAGCGGCTGTGTCATCCCAGCCCCGCTTCCCGGCGACGCAGGGCCCTGATTGTGCAGGAATTCGGGCGGCCGCGGATCCCCGGCTCCCTGCGGGTGTGTTTATCGGCTCCATCGGGGCAGCGATTACATTTAAATGCCGTATTTATGAAGCTGCCCCGGCCCTGGGCTGCCCTGCAACGCCCAGTTCGTGGTAATAAACCCGGTCACATCCTCCTTTATCTGCTCTCTGCTCTGCCAGCGGGGCTTTGAAAGTTCCCGCCTTTGTATTTTGCGGGATGAGGTTTATTTTTCCCAGATATCCACAAGATTTAGGTCGTTTTTAGGCTTTGTGGTTTCTGTAGTTCTTTTTTTTTTCCCCTTCATTTTTTCAGTTGTTTTTATTTCTGTTTTCTGGAGTTTTTCCGTAGTTGTGGCTGTCCCTGGATCCCTGGAAGTGTCCAAGGCCGGGTTGGATCCCCCTGGGATGGCGGGAGGTGTCCAGGGTGGGACTGGATGGGATTTAAGGTCCCTCCAACCCAACCCATTCCAGGATTCCTTGATTCTGGAGCCAGGCTGGGAGAGCTGGGAATGTTCCCCTGGAGAAGGGAAGGATCCAGGGAGAGCTTGGAGCCACTTCCAGGGCCTGAAGGGGCTCCAGGAGAGCTGGAGAGGGACTGGGGACAAGGGCTGGAGGGACAGACACAGGGAATGGCTTCCACTGGGAAAGGGGGGATTTAGGGGGGATACTGGGAAGGAATTCCTGGCTAGGAGGATGGGGAGGCCCTGGGATGGAATTCCCAGAGAAGCTGTGGCTGCCCCTGGATCCCTGGAAGTGTCCCAGGCCCGGTTGGATCCCTTGGGATGGTGGGTGGGGGTGGAACCGGATGATCTCTGGGGTCCCATCCAACCCAACCCATTCCATGATCCCGTTTGGAGCTGATCCAGGCAATCCTGTGGGAATGTCGAGGGGTTTCCTGGAGCACCGGCCTGAGCCCTGGAGTTCAGGATTCCCACCCGTGGGTTGGGTTGGCCGGAGGTGGCCAGAGGGGGGTGAGGGCCCCGGAGCTCGGCCGGTTCCTGCATCCCTCGTGCTCCAGGAGTTTGGGGCCCTTTGGGAATTTCTGGGTGGTTCCAAGACGTTAATCCCGGGGGCCTGGGGGAGGATGGATCAGCTCTGGAAGGAGCTGAGGAGCTCTCCAGGTGCCCTCGTGGTCCAGAGAACCCCCAGAGGGGACACTCCTGTCCCAGAGGCTTCTCCGGGGGGGATGAACTTCCAGGGGGGATGAACTTCCAGGGGGGATGAACTTCCAGGGGAATGAACTTCCCAACGTGTCCCACGGGCTGGAACAACACGTGGAGCTTCTGCCCCTGCTCCAAGGGGGACAATCCTTGGGATTGGAATTCATCCTTAAAACCCACAAGGACAAACCCCCTGCGGCCTCAGGGCCCCGATCCCAGGAAAACCCGGGAAGGGGGAGGGATGACCCCGTGATCCCAGAGGGCAGGAAGAGGAAGCTCCCCCTCCATCCCGGGGATGCGGGGATGCCTCCCGGGATCCATCCCTGTTCCCGGGGCCAGCTCAGCAGGTCCGGGTGTGGTTTTTGGGGTGCTGTGCCAGGGCTGGGCCGGCGCCAGCTCCCATCACAACAATTCCCACCCCGCGCTCCCGATCCCGCGGCCGCTCCCTCCGGTTTGGGGTTGGGAACCTCTCAGGTTGCCCCGGGAACCTCCGAATTCCCACCTCTTGTGCTTCAGCTGGTGCCCAGGGCAGGGATTTGGGGATGGACCCCTCTCCCGGATCGGGCTGGTTTGGGGTGGGGGTGTTCCCTGCCCCGGGGCAGAACCTTCCCGCAGGATCCCTGAGGAGGATCGGGAGCATCTCCCGGTTTGCTGGGCCTTGGAATGAGCCGCTCACGGAGTGGGAAGGGGAGGGACGGAGGGGAATTGCACCCGGAGCCACCAAAGCCAACCCTCTGGAATCCCGGGATCCTTTAGGTTGGAGAATCCCTTGGGATCATCGAGTCCAACCTTCCCCCAAGGCCACCACTGACCACGATCCCAAGGGCCACATCCCCGGGATTTCGGGACGCTTCCAGGGATGGGGACCCCACCCCTGTGCCGGGGCTGGACAACCCTTTCCCTGAGGAATTTTCCCCAGGATCCAACCAAACCTCCCCTGGTGCAGCCGGATGTGGTTTCCTCTCATCCCGTCACTTGTTCCCTGGGAGAAAATCCCAAATCCCACCTGGCTCCGACCTCTTTCCAGCCTCTTTCCAGATTCTTCCCCCCCTCCACTCTTCAAATCCTGGTCATCCCACCTTTTTGTTCGTTCCCCCTCATTTTTAATCCCTGCGGGACACGGAATTCCCAATCCAAGCCAGATTTGGGGACAGGTTTATAAAAAGCGGGAATTCCGTGGGAAATCCGGTTGAATTTCCCGGCTAAACGTAGACCATCAGTAAAGTTTAATTCCCAACTCAGCACAAATGGAAGGTCTGAAAGGCCGCTCCCGGTGTGAGGTGGGAGGAGACCGATTTTGGCAGGAAAAGTGGATTTCTCCGCTGTTTCTGCTGGAAAACACTCGGCGTCCTGGTGGGAAAAGCCCTTTATCTGCTCTCGGAGCATCCAAAGCCTTGTCCACCTCGGGATATTCCGGCTGTTTAATTCCCTGTCCCTCCGAGCCCCTAATTTTGGGGATTTAGGAGCCCCTTTCCAAACGGGGCCACCCCACACACGGGGAGTTTTAGTCCATGGGTTTATTCCCGCATGGAAAAGCAGGAGAGACAGCAGCAGGAGGTTTATTTAAAAGGATTCATTTAATTTTTAAAAAAAATTTAAAATGAATTAAAGAGATCAGTTGAATTTTTCTTAAATTGAATCAATTAAAAAATACTGGTTTAATTGATTAAAATTTCTCTCCGAGCTTTTTATCATCCGTTTAAAACTCTGCAGCCATGAAGTGGATTTATTCAAATCCATTTTTAAAGCTAAAACTTATAGGGAATTCCATGTCTTTTTTTGCCTTTTCTAGACCCTGTTTCAGCTTTATAAAGTATTTTTTGTTGTGCCACGAGCAGGGAAACCAGAGCAGACTTTCCCTGTCCCTGCAGAAGGAACAGTTACCACTGGGATGTTGGAATGAGGGAAAAGAGGGAATGGGAAGCCAAGGGAGGATATTATGGAATGAGAGGATAAAGGGAATGGGAAGTCAAGGGAGGACACTCTGGAATTAGACAAAAGAGGGAATGGGAATGGAAGAAAAGAGGGAGTGGGAAGCCAAAGGGGGATATTCTGGGAATGAGAGGAAAGAGGGAATTGGGAATGGAAGAAAAGAGGGACTGAGAAGAAACCAAGGGAGGTTATTCTGGGAATAAGAGGAAAGAGGGAATGGGAAACCAAAGGGGGATATTCTGGGAATGAGAGGAAAGAGGGAACTGGGAATGGAAGAAAAGAGGGACTGGGAAGCCAAGGGAGGATATTGTGGGAATGAGAGGAAAGAGAGACTGGGAAGCCAAAGGAGGATATTCTGGGAATGAGAGGAAAGAGGGAATTGGAAATGGAAGAAAAGAGGGAATGGGAAGCCAAGGGAGGATATTCCAGAAATGGGAGAAAAGAGGGACTGGGAAGCCAAGGGAGGATATTGTGGGAATGAGAAGAAAGAGGGAATTGGGAATGGAAGAAAAGAGGGACTGGGAAGAAATGAAGGGAGGTTATTCTGGGAATGAGAGGAAAGAGGGACTGAGAAGAAACCAAGGGAGGTTATTCTGGGAATGAGAGGAAAGAGGGAATTGGGAATGAGAGGAAAGAGGGAATTGGGAATGAAAGAAAAGAGGGAATGGGAGCCAAAGGGGGATATTTTGGATATGAGAGGAAAGAGGGACTGGGAAGCCAAGGGAGGATATTGTGGGAATGAGAGGAAAGAGGGAATTGGGAATGGAAGAAAAGAGGGAATGGGAAGAAATCAAGGGAGGATATTCTGGGAATGGGAGAAAAGAAGGAATTGGGAATGGAAGAAAAGAGGGAGCGGGAAGAAACCAAGGAAGATTATTGTGGAAATGGGAGAAAAGAGGGACCGGGAAGCCAAAGGGGGGTATTCTGGGAATGGGATGAAAGAGGGAATTGGGAATGAAAGAAAAGAGGGATTGGGAAGCCAAGGGAGGATATTCTGGAAATGGGAGAAAAGAGGGAATTGGGAATGGAAGAAAAGAGGGAGCGGGAAGAAACCAAGGAAGGTTATTCTGGGAATGAGAGGAAAGAGGGACTGGGAAGCCAAAGGGGGATGAAAGAGGGAATGGGAAGCCAAGGGAGGATATTCTGGGACTGAGAGGAAAGAGGGAATTAGGAATGGAAGAAAAGAAGGACTGAGAAGAAACCAAGGGAGGTTATTCTGGGAATGAGAGGAAAGATGGAATGGGAAGCCAAAGGGGGATATTGTGGGAATGGGAGAAAAGAGGGACTGGGAAGCCAAGGGAGGATATTGTGGGAATGGGAGAAAAGAGGGAATGGGAAGCCAAGGGAGGATATTGTGGGAATGGGAGGAAGCCAAGGGAGGTGGGGCGGGTGCTCCCGGGACGGGGGGAAGGCAGGTCAGGACCCCGCCGAGGCCTCGTGCCCCGTGAAATGAGATTCCCGAAGAGGTGGGGAAATCTGGGAGCGAGCAATGCTCGGGATGAGCGGGATAACTGTAATTAGGGCTGCGGGGAGGCCGGGGCGATAAGGAGCGCTGTCAGCAGGGCGGGGAGCCAGGCGGGATTTGGGATTTGCGGGGTTTCACAACCCGCCGCCGGTGCCGGGTGTTTATCCGGCCTCTCTCCGGGCACCACTAATTGCCGCCTAATGAACCAAACCCATCAACAACTCCAACGACCTGCTAATTAACCGGCAATGGATTATTATAGCTCCTCGCGAACCTATAAAGGGGAACTTCCCCGGAGAACTTCCCGTACCCCTCCCGGAGCTGAGGATCCTCCGGCTCTCCTTCCCCGCGCCCGGTTCATCTCCCGCTGTCCCGCCCGGACACCATGAGAAGATATTTCTCCAGATACGGCGACGGGAATTTCAGCTCCTCCTCCGCCCACTGCGGGACGTCGGGCGGCGGGGACGGGAGATTCCCGGGGTTCGGGCCGGGATACGGCAGCAGGAGCCTCCACAACCTCGGGGGCTTCAGGAACGTCTGTGCCGCCGGAGGATACGGAGGAGAAGGAGCGGGATACGGGAGGTTTGGTGGCTGGAGACAACCCGAGAGGGCGTTTTACGGCCGGGGGTATTTCACGGGAGCTTTTCCGAGGGGGGACGCGGGGCCGGGAAGCGCCTCCCGGGCCAGCCCGGGCAGGGAAGCGCTCGGGGCAGAGGGACGGGGGGTGGGACAGCCCGGGATGCTCCGAGGCATCGAGGAGGTCCACGTGAACCCCGCCCTGCTGAGGCCCCTGGAGCTGCAGGTGGACCCCGAGTTCCAGAGGGTGCGCTCGGACGAGAAGGAGCAGATCAAGGCCCTCAACGACAAATTCGCCTCCTTCATCGACAAGGTGGGTCCCGAGGCAGGTGCGAGTCACGGCAACACCCTCCTGTTGCACCTTCTCCCCCCAAAATCCCAGGATTTGGCTGAATCCCCTGTGAATTCCTGCTGGGATGCTCCCAGCAGGTGGCTGGGTGAATCACGGGTAGCCCTGGGATGTGTCTCCGAGTGGCAGGACAATAAAACCACCAGGATGTCACCGACTCGTTAACTCGCTCCTCTTTCCAGGGAAAGGGTTTCTGGGAACGTCCAGCCCTTTATCCCGGTGCCTGGGGATTGTTGGTGGCAGCTGGAAAAATGAGTGGTGGATTTGGACATCCCTGTTTTTCCTTTTGATCTGTTTTTTTTTGCCTCAAGCAAAGCAAAACTTCCCCGAATCCTTTGTTTGGGGGTCCTGCCTCTCCCAGGCCATCGGGGGCCTCCACACCTTCCCTCTCCACCTCGTGCTCGGCTCTGCAGCTTTGGCTTCTCTCCTGCTCCTCCTTGGGGTCAGGAGGAGCGGGACAGCCCCAAAATTCCCCCGTGGAGTCACCTCTGGGGTGACCCCGGGCCCTGCTGGGGTGGGAGCTGTGGGGGCTGGGACAGGGGGACACCTCAGGGCTCCCTGGACAGCCCCACACAGAAGGGGTTGGTTACACCCACGAGGTCTGAACATCCCCAGCCCCCAAAAATCGGAGGGTTTGTGATTCCCTTTCCCCCCCCCAGAATTTTGGGTCTCAGTTTCCAGGTTCGGTGTCAAGGAATCGTGGAATGGTTTGGGTTGGAAGGGACCCTAAATTCCTCCCATCCCACCCCCTGCCCTGGGCAGGGACACCTCCCACTGTCCCAGGGGATCCAACCTGGCCTGGGACACTTCCAGGGATGGGGCATCCTCTGGGAAATCCATTCCAGGGCCTCCCCACCCTGCCAGGCAGGAATTCCTTCCCAATATCCCACCTAACCTTCCCCTCCTCCAGCTGGAAGCCCCTCATCCCTTGGCCTGGCTTTGTCCAGGTCCCTCTCCAGCTCTTGGAGCCGCCGGGGAAGGAAAATGACCTTTAAAGGGTCACTTCCAACCCAAAATGTTCTGTGATTCCATGAAAATAAACAGGCAGGAATACAGGAAAAGCTCCTGAATCTTGGAATAATTGAGGGGGAAATGATGAAACTGTGGAATGGTTTGGGTTGGGAGGGACATAAAAGCTCATCCCGCTCTGTGCCGTGGGCAGGGACACCTCCCACTGTCCCAGGGGGATCCAACCTGGCCTGGGACACTTCCAGGGATGGGGCATCCTCTGGGAAATCCATTCCAGGGCCTCCCCACCCTGCCAGGCAGGAATTCCTTCCCAATATCCCACCTAACCTTCCCCTCCTCCAGCTGGAAGCCCCTCATCCCTTGGCCTGGCTTTGTCCAGGTCCCTCTCCAGCTCTTGGAGCCGCCGGGGAAGGAAAATGACCTTTAAAGGGTCACTTCCAACCCAAAATGTTCTGTGATTCCATGAAAATAAACAGGCGGGAATACAGGAAAAGCTGCTCAATCTTGGAAAAATTGAGGGGGAAATGATGAAACTGTGGAATGGTTTGGGTTGGGAGGGACATCGAAGCTCATCCCACTCTGTGCCGTGGGCAGGGACACCTCCCACCATCCCAGGGGGATCCAACCGGGCCTGGGACACTCCCAGGGATCCAGGGGCAGCCACAGCTTCTCTGGGAAATCCATCCCAGGGCCTCCCCACCCTCCCAGCCAGGAATTCCTTCCCAATATCCCCCCTAAATCCCCCCTTTCCAAGTGGGAAGCCATTCCCTGTGTCTGTCCCTCCAGCCCTTGTCCCTAGTCCCTCTCCAGCTCTCCTGGAGCCCCTTCAGGAACGGAGCTCTCCCTGGATCCTCCAGGGGAACATTCCCAGCTCTCCTGGAGCCCCTTCAGGGATGGAGCTCTCCCTGGAGTCTCCAGGGGAACATTCCCAGCTCTCCTGGAGCCCCTTTAGGAATGGAGCTCTCCCTGGATCCTCCAGGGGAACATTGCCAGCTCTCCTGGAGCCCCTTCAGGAATGGAGCTCTCCCTGGATCCTCCAGGGGAACATTCCCAGCTCTCCTGGAGCCCCTTTAGGAACGGAGCTCTCCCTGGATCCTCCGGGGGAACATTCCCAGCTCTCCTGGAGCCCCTTTGGGAACGGAGCTCTCCCTGGAGCCTCCAGGGGAACATTCCCAGCTCTCCTGGAGCCCCTTCAGGAATGGAGCTCTCCCTGGATCCTCCAGGGGAACATTCCCAGCTCTCCTGGAGCCCCTTTAGGAATGGAGCTCTCCCTGGAGCCTCCAGGGGAACATTCCCAGTTTTCCTGGAGCCCCTTTGGGAACGGAGCTCTCCCTGGATCCTCCGGGGGAACATTCCCAGCTCTCCCAGCCTGTTTCCACGGCGGAGATTCCAATCCCTTCCCCCTGGATCTGCTTTTCCCCCAGGTGCAGTGCCTGGAGCGGCAGAACCAGGCCCTGCTGGCCAAGTGGCAGCTCCTGCAGCAGCAGAGCTCGGGCCCCGAGGAGAGCAGGAACATCTCCTCCTTCTTCCAGTCCTACATCTCCAGCCTCCAGAGGCAGCTCCAGACGCTCCAGAGCCAGAAGGAGCAGCTGGACCCCGAGGCCTACAACATGCTGCAGCTGGTGGAGGAGTACAAAAACAGGTGAAGGACCCCAAAATTCGGGAGGAAAAGGGTGCTGGGGGGTTTTCCAGCTCCGCTTCGCACCCTGAGCCTGGAGCGGGTGCTCTGGGGGGGCCTCGGGGATGGAGGAGTTTGGGGAGGGTTGAACCCCCCAAATGAGAGGGAAATTGAAGTTTTGGTTGATTTATCCCACCCTCCTCCTCTTCCTCCCCCGAGCAACCCAGCACCCGCTGTGGGGACCCGGCGGGGAGGGACGGGGGGGTCGAGTCGGGCAGAGCCGTCACCTCGGGCTCAGCTGCACCCACAGAGAGTTTGTGTCCAGCCAGGC